ATTCATTCATTCATTCATTTTATGCCATTACTATAATGTGATGTGGAAAAGAGAGTCACTTATGGACCAAAGCAATAAGCTGAAAAAAGTTATCTCAGTGTGAAATTTGCCCATTTTCTCTTCAGCTTCCCAATTCCTCAAAGTTTAAAGCAGTAATGGGCAGAAGGTAGATCAAGATCTATTCATAAATCTCTACATAGACTGACAAGGATTTCTGATTCCCAATGGTCTAATAGCAGCAATGAATTTAAAAAGTCCTCCCAACCATCATAAAAAGGGTTTAAAAAAAGTTTGGTTCCTATAGTAATCATAAATCCCTGGACTGAGGACATATACCAATGCACCAATGTCCCTTAATTCTTAGTCTCAGTCTCTCGGATTGTCATGGTTTTTGTTGACAGACCTCAGAATTCTAATGAAACTCACAGTGGATCCTGCAAGGCTTAAGTCTGTTAATTCTTGGTCTAGAAAAATTAGTTAACAATACCACCACTGCCTTTAGGTTAACTACTTGGATACAACAAACAGTTGAGCAAAGGAATATAGGTAGTCCTTGAGTTATGACAGTAATTGGGACCGGAATTTCCATTGCTAAGCAACACGGTCATTAGGCGAAACGTGACTGCATTGCTTAGCAATGGCAATCCCAGCACTCCCTCTTGCTGTTGTTAACTGAATCCCACCAGTCATTAGGTGAGGACCAACCCCAATCCAAGCCATTCCAAGCTTGATCTCTCCAAGCCCTGATCCTTGGTAAGGTTAAGGGACTGCCTCTTCTGCCTCCTCTTCTACTCCCCCCCATCTCTGCCCTTTTGGCCACCCTGCAAAGCGGCACTCCTCAGTCTTTGGAAAGCTTTTGAGACCTTTCCAAGCATCACGAGAACAGCATGCTCGCCATGCTCCAAATAGCACGCCCTGTTCTCATGATGCTTAAGAAAGCCTTCTGAGGCCTTCCAAAGCATAGTGAGAATGGGGTGCGTGCTATTTGGAGAATGGCGTGAGTGGCCTTGGGAAGAAGGCCTGGCACAGGCAGCAGCTGCCTCACATAGGGCTGGGCCAGGCACACCTTGTCAGCAGCCAGATGAAGGCAGCTAAAGTCAGCTGGGCACAGCAGGGCCTGCAGGGGCTTTGCGCTGTGGCAGGAGTAACTGGCCGCAGCACAGGGCTTGAGGTGGCACTGGGGCTAAAGTAGAGGCCAGCTGAGAATGCTGAAAGCCTTGGATGTCCTGCTTCAGGTTCCAACCACACACACTCACATACAGTTGCTGTGGAGTTTAGCAATTTTACTAGAAGGCTGAAAAGATAGCAGTGAACCAAGGAATGTAAACAAAACTGAGGCTTGCCTGAAGAGCTTACTTTCTAAATAAGAGTGCATAGAAGAGTAGTCCAAATCCAAGGTTCTGAGAGCCAGGTCAAGGTTGTTAGCCAGTCCAGAGGTCAGAGGTTCAAGGTTTCAAACACAAATAGAATTTGCAGGAATGTTAACACAAGAGCCAGAGTCACACGTTGTTTCCAGCAAAGAGAGCGTGGATCAGAGCTGCTTCTTAAATAAAGCTGCAGCCAGCTGTCACTAATCAGGAGATTTACTCCCTTGCTTGGCGAGGAGCCTAACAGACCTTTGCCGCTCTGCTCTCTTCTCTATTTGTTAGGTGCAAGGGCTGAGAGGCCTTACATCATCTTCATCTGACTTCTCCAGCTGCTCAAGTGGTGCCTGTGTTTGATCAGCCTCATGTGATTCCTGGTTTTCTCTCTCCTGAGGTTGACTCAGGCTCAGCTGGAGCAGCTTTTTCAGGGTCAGATTCAGATTCAGAATCTGAGTCCAGAGCCTGGGCCATGACACCGGGCCTCTACTTCTGCCCTAGTGCTGCTGCCGAGGAGGGTGGCCAAAGGGCAGAGATGGGGAGGGAGATAGGTCGGTGGGGAGAGTTGAAGCACCCTTGGGGTCATAAGTGCGGATGGGCTGCCAAGCACCTGAAAGAAGTGACTTCCAACCTTTATCACAAATATAAACAATTTTAGTAACTTATCACCTCCTCTTAAAATACAACAAATGATCTCTTCTTCCCATATCCCATCTCTTATCTATTAAAAAAAAAATCCATAAAGCATCATTTCAGTCCTGCTGTCACCAAAGGCCTGTTAAGGATTACCAGAAATAACAACATAGCTATATTAACCTTGATCAAATAAACCAACTTTATATTTCTTCCTTTTACTTCCAATAATCTTAATCTTTAGTCCATTCAAATAATGTTGTAGAATTCGATTTCTTTTCATTGCTTCTTTGTCCCTTCTTGTGAGATTCTTCAAAACTTTAACAAGCCTCTTTTATAATTGCAATATAGGAAAATTATCCAAGTCACTCTCTTGGTTTATTGTTTGTATATCCCTTTTAATTATTAAAACATCAGCCAGTTTCTTTTGCATGTCCAGTTAAACATCTTTTTCCATGTCATTCTTGTAGCCTGTCATTTATAAATCCACTTTCAACTCAGTCTCAATCTTATCAGGTAAAACTTGTTCCTCTTCCATAACATCTTTTAGACACAGTCTCTCCATAGAGGCAGATCTCAATCTTATCAGGTAAAACTTGTTCCTCTTCCATAACATCTTTTAGACACAGTCTCTCCATAGAGGCAGATGTCTCTATTGACACTATTATCTTCTGAGTCCATTTTTCAAAAATATCCTTCAATATGTCCAATGCTAGAATATTTTGCTCCACTCTGTAATTTTAAGTTGAGTTCATATGTTCTTCTCCTTTAATTGTAATCTTTAGTTCCCTCTAGTGTCCAATTTTTAAAATTTATGTTTTTTTTTAAATCAAAACAAAAGCATTTTGCCATCAGAAGGATTCTTTATAATCAATTCCAACAACTTACTTCAAATTTATCTGGGCCTTTAGTCCATTTGTAACTTTTTAAAATCAAACTTTTAATCACCCTTTTGCTGCTTATTCCGCCCCCCCATTTTTTAAAGTTCTTAAACTTGTAGTTAAAACTTTCTTTTGCTAAGGATTGAAGGGAAACTCACCTGGTGTTTTCAAACTTGTCAATACAAAGGTTTCTAATAGCTGAAAAGCAGTTAACAAGCAATTTCTGAAAGTGACTAGAAAAGCAAGTATGTGAGCTTAGTGTCCTTTCAAGGTGCCAACTGCAGTTTGAGCAAGATGGCTACTGCCTCATCTCCCAGAGCTCTAAACCCACCAAAGAGCGCTATCTTGCAATCTCCTCACAAGGAGCACCTGTCTAGGGCACTTGTGGGTGATCTCAAGTTCTCTCCTTGTCCGGAGAAGTTCAAAGAACCAGTCTATTCACCGGCTCTTTGTTCTTCGCCACAGTCGTTGGCTCCACTTTTCACGGAGCTGTCTATAATCCGCCATTTCTTCCTCCAGAAGTCCTACAAATTTAAAGAATTTGTATCCCACACATTTTATTCCTGACATCAGATTGCTTTATTTTGTCTTACTTTTTTCTCTCTCAGCTCCTATTTATCAACCTCAGTTTTAGAAAATTATTTCCCTGTAAAATAGGACTTACACTGCATTTAAATACAAGCTCATACTGAATAAAAATAGTAAATACTAGTATTAATTTCTTTAGATACATAATAGAATCAAACATATTATAAATTCTGTGTACACAGACATGCTTGATTTTATTCCATAGAAAAGGAAAATAAATGTATAGTACTTTAAAAATTTAATAAATTATGTTATTTTAGCTTGGGGTCTTTGAATAACATCACTAGTTTCTTTAAAAAAAAAACTAAAATGATTCTGTAGTGCTGGGCTAGACAAATTTTTGCCCTCTAGATATAGCTGGATTCCAACTCCCAAAAAGCTCAGCCAACAGAACCATTCATCAGAAGTGAGGGGAATTACAGTCAATCATCTGGAGTAGCTCTACAGATAGAAATCAGCTTTAATTTCATATTTTAGCAAAACATTCACAGAATACACTAAATGGCAAAAACAACTAAATGGATTCAATTCTCTACTACTTTCAGTAGAAGACAAATATTGTTTCAGTAAGTACAAAAATAAAAGAATTTGGTAAATGAGACATCTTAAATAGCATAAAGAACAGGCTTTATTTTCTTTATGGCTTGATAAAGGTTAAGTATTAGAAAAGAAGAGCCCTTACAGAATTCATTCAAAGACGCGATATCCTTTTCTCACTTCCATGGTTATAAATTACTGTAAGTGGCTGCAAAAAAGTATTTTCCATATATTTATGTAAATATTTGTGGTTTAATTTATAAATGGCTACAATTTATAAATTACATATTGTCAGTACTAAGAAATTGGAGAGGATCCAAAGGACTATGATTTATTTTAAATAATTAAATATGAAACAACCACTACAAATAAGGATATTACAAGACTGAGAATCACTTGTCAAAGATCTGTTAAGAACTGAAGTTTCACCAAGAACTGAATGGCATATATATTCTACAAGGTAGATCGAAAGTAGTCTTACTGTACCATTTTTAAAACATCTAACACATTAATAAAATATATGTACTCCATTAAGTTGATATATATCTCATGCAACAGAGCTGACTTGAACTTCCCAAGGAAAACTTCTCATTAGGTTTAGCTGACCAATAAGCTCTACTTGTACATATCAGTAAAAAGTGTGTAAGACCCCATTTCCATTCATAGTTCATAATGGAACTATAATGGCTAAATAAACTAAGTGGATTCTATACTCGGTTACTTTCAGTGGAAGGCATATATCATTTTAGTAAGTACTAAATAGCATCAGCCAAATAATATTGCCATTGTGAAGAAATGATTGGAATGCTAGATGGGAATCAGAAAATCCACGGTCTCAAGTTCATGCTTGACTATATACTTCACTTAAAAACTTTGGGCCAATTTTCTCAGTCTAACCCATATCACAGAGTATAAATAAGGAGCAAGCCCATGATCACCATCTTGAAGGCAGGGTATCAGTACAATTAAAAAGTAAGATTGGACATTTATGCTAGAGTGGTTTAAAATCCAGCAGATTATTTATCACAACAGAAAGCTTTGCTGTTGTTGAAAACACATGGAAGGTCTGTATAATTCTCTATACTGTGAAGATGGTTTAGTTTTACGCCACTGGCGTAAAATTTTAAAATCTTTCATATTTCACAAATTTCCAGCAACCTGGAACCCTATATAAAAGAAGGCCTATGCTTTAGACAAGTGTGAGACTGATGTTGTTTTAATATGCAAAAATGCAGATACTGAATAGGTCTGACTAGTCAGTGGGCACTATTTATGACCAATGAAGCCAATATGTCAATCTATCAGGGTGGTGATCATTTTTAGTTTGCCATCTGGTGACTATCAAGATTATGCCACAGTATAAAACATAAGAGTGTATTTGATTCACTGGGCCACTGATTGTGTAGACCAGCTCTAACCTGATTAGTAAGAACAGAGATAGTAATAACTCAGCACTAAAGAGAAGGCAGGTCAGTAGCCCCCATGTAACTGCTAAATCCAGAGGCTCTCATTCAGAAGTGCCTACAAATTTCATGTGCTGAAAATTCAGCATGGTCTGAATGAGAATTCACAGAGATTTCAGAAAGTCAATTATTTCCGATTTTATATTTGATCCAACAAGATTTATTTTATTTCTTAGCTTTTTCTCTACAGTTACCTTTCACTGAGTTTCTGATTCAAACAGGAGCTCTAACATTTCTTACCAAACTGTTGTGCTTTTGATGTTCTTTTTGGATACGTCTTACTACGACTTCTTTCAACTGTTTGGTTAGGTCGAGGAAGCTGGATAGAAATGTCTTTATTCATTTGCATAGCTGTCTTCCCACTAGAAAATGCAACAAATAATATATGTAAGTCAATGAAAACTACGAAGTAAAACACTGAAATGTATCCCTAGTTGGGGAGGGGCATTTTAGCTGAATTAAAAGTTTACTACTAAGTATCACTGAGAGCCAAGCAAGTAAAATAAAAAATATGCCATTATAATACTTTGTTACTCTCACAGTTTCCCAGATTGACACAAAGTACCTCCATCTCTTTCACATTTCCACCATACGATGTACATAGTACTGAAAAAGCACACTGATTTTATATTTTGTGCTTCTTTAGCCTTTCCTTTTTCTCAACTAGCTATGCCCATAACAACATTTTCAAAAGTATTTTTCTATCAAGTATTTTTATTCTTGAAGGAAAAGAAATAAAATAAGCTATTTCCCAACAATAATTCCTGGAAAAAAAAATTATTGAGACTTCACTGCCATCCCTTACCAACTAGAAATACCAGATTATTCTGCCACTGAGCTTGCCTTGCCTGTAAATTTTGAGAATACAAGATTTTAACTACTGTACAGCTTTTAAAACCCAACCAAGTAATTAGGCTTTATGGAACAAGGTGCCTTTGAAGTGCCTTTAGACTAAAGTTATCCATCTTCAGTGCAATCAATTGTCCTCCACAAGCTCATTTGTATAACTGTTATACAAAAGGCGCTTTCATCCTAGTCAACCTCTCAGGCCCAAGAAATAATCTCAACCCGTCTCACTTATTTAATCCAACACCTGATATTATTTAATCCAACACCTGATCTTGAACTTAGTTGCTCATGCCACAATTGGTCCCTTGGTAAAAGCCTCTCTTCAAGTTCATCTAAAATCTGACACACAGACTCAGAACCACAAGCTGTAAGTGCAAGCAGATCACTAGTATGGTGAATTCTAAACCATGACTGCTGCCAACAGTAGAAACCACTTATCTACCCTAGGAAACTTGCTGAGTGAATTTCACAATCAGTGCAATTTATTTTCATCACATTCAAACCTGGTTTCTCACAGTACTTTGCCCTTACCTTGCTTTCCTTTCTAGGGGCAACTATAAACCCAACTATGTATCCACATGAACATGTTGCAAAGCAGACTAAAGAAATTGTTGTTCAGTCGTTAAGTCGTGTCCGACTCTTCGTGACCCCATGAACCATATTACGTCAGGCCTTCCTGTCCTTCA